GCAATAAACAAACATCCAATCTTAAGATCCTCCAATAAATGCTCAAGGTTTCAGCAATTGCTCAGAGACGAACCTGTTTGATTTCAAGGGTAGGAGCCTTGAGCACTAGGCGATAGTCGTTGACCGGCGGCACGCGACCTGCCCATAGAGCAAACTTGCACTGATCGCCCTCTATGTGCTCTGTGATATTCAGATCAGCAAGGAGAAAACGCGACTTGAATTGGTACCTGCGAGAAAGTGTCTTATAAGACAACGGTGATTTAATTTGCTTTCTGCAATCAAGACGCGATAAATACAGATTTGACTAAATGCACGGGAAAAAAGTCGATCTGCGATCTTAGATCATTCCTTGCAGACAAAGAGTGGGAATGAATAGATGCAAAAAGCTGATGGTAGGTGAACGCTTTGAAGCAGTTTTACTATAGTTGCACCGTTTAATCGATATGACCATTTGTATGGCCGCAAAAAAAGTGCGGTTGCTTTTCTTTAACCAGCTGGTGATGGTTTAAAAAAATCCAGGGTGCAGCAAGATGCAAACCATCTGTATGTACAGATAGGATAAAGCAAATGGAAATGCGCAAAAATTGCAAAAAAAGTAGAAAAAAATTATAAAAGGGAAATGAGCCCCACCAAATCGCACATTTTGACATCTGCGAAGCGGGTAATGTAACTGAAAAGTGTCACAACGAAATAGGCGCAACAGCGATGCTCAAGGTATAGGTAGAGGGACGAAAGATCATTTAAGCACCCGAAAAGACCGAAGGCAATAAGCTGGATTGTTAGGTTACCTAACCGATTTGAAATGCTTTAATTATAGCATATGTTGAGAATTATGCTAAAAAGCATGACAGGATCGCGTATGAAGGGATGAAATTTAGGAACACTGTGAAACAAGTACGCCTACTTCATTTTGCTTTCCCCAGGGTTGACGGGACACTCTTTGGCAAGTACAAGGCAGATATCAAAGAGGAAGACACGCCTGTCACGAGACTTCTTGATGAGCTGTTTGGGCTCCCATACGGTGAACTGGTCCTGCAACACCACGTCACCTAGGCACGACATCGGCAGGTCTTCCGGCAAGCCCTAGAAGAACGGACAAAGCACAAGGCGTGAATCTCTCTCCTGTGAATGCATTAACACGCGAGCTGCAAGCAATCGCCTGGTAGGACGCACACACCCTGTTGATTGTAAGTCATTTGCATGGGACCCCTTTA